ATCAAACAGCAAGTCATCAAGCAGTGGCAATTTTGGCCAAAAGAATGTGGACACCCCATGGTGTGACTGTACCCCTGTGATGAGTTTGGTGCAGAGGAACTTGAGGGGCCTATACAGGACCCAGACCTAATCACTTTGGACACTTTGGAGATACCGATTGCGGGACATGTCTTCTTTCCCATCATTAGTACCTGATCTCACAAATGCTCTTTTGCCTAAATAGGCAAAAAAATCCAGACCCACTCCAAAATGTTGTGGGAAACCTTCTAGAAGATTGGAGGGTGTTAGAGCCAAAAAACCATATTAGTGCTTGTGGTTTTAGAATGGAAAATCCATCAAGCTCATATACAGTTGCAAGAAAAAGTATGTGAACCCCTTGGGATTACGTGGAGATTTGCATGAATTGGGCATAAAATGTGCTCTGAACGTCATCTAAGTCACAAGAATAGAAGAACACAGTCTGCTGAACATAATACTACACAAACATTAGATGTTGCCATGGTTTAATTGCACATAACATGTAAACATTCACAGTGCAGGGAGGAAAAAGTATGTGAACCTTTGGACTTAATAACTGGTTGACCCTCCTTTGGCAGCAATAACCTCAACCAAACGTTTCCTGTAGTTGCAGATCAGACCTGCACAACGATCTGGAGTAATTTTGGACCACTCCTCTTCACAAAACTGTTTCAGTGTAGCAATATTCTTGGGATGTCTGGTGTGAATCGCTCTCTTAAGGTCATGCCACAGCATTTCAATCGGGTTGAGGTCAGGACTCTGACTGGGCCACTCCAGAAGGCGTATTCTGTGCTGTTGCAGCCATTGTTTTGTTGAATTACTTGTATGCTTTGGGTCATTGTCCTGTTGCATCACCCATCTTCTGCGGAGCTTCAGTTGGCGGACAGATGATCGTACGTTTTCCTGCAAAATGTCTTGATAAACTCTGGAATTAATTTTCCCATCAATGACAACAATCCGTCCAGGCCCTGAGGCAGCAAGCAAAGCAGCCCCAAACCATGATGCTCCCTCCGCCATGTTTTACAGTGGGGATGAGGTTTTGATGTTGGTGTGCTGTGCCTTTTTTTCTCCACACATAGTGTTGTGTGTTCTTCCCAAACAACTCAATCTTGGTTTCATCTGTCCACAGTATATTTTGCCAGTAGTGCTGTGGAACATCCAGGTGCTCTTTTGCAAACTTCAAACGTGCTGCAATATTCTTTTTGGACAGCAATGGCTTCCTCCGTGGTGTTCTCCCATGTACTCCATTCTTGTTTAATGTTTTCCTTATTGTAGATGTGTCAACAAAAATGTTAGCATGTGCCAGAGATTTCTGTAGGTCTTTAGCTGACACTCTGGGATTCTTCTTTACCTCATGCAGCATTTTGCGCTGTGCTCTTGCAGTCATTTTTACAGGACAACCACGCCTAGGGAGAGTAGCAACAGTGCTAAACTTTCTCCATTTGTAGACAGTCTTTCTTACTGTGGACACATGAACATCAAGGCTTTTGGAGATACTTTTGTAACCCTTTCCAGCTTCATGCAAGTCAACAATTCTTGATCGTAGGTCTTCTGAGAGCTCTTTTCTGCGAGGCATGGTTCACGTCAGACAGTGCTTCTTGAAACTAGTAAACCCAAAACAGGTGTGTGTTTTTTAAGGGCAGGACAGCTGTCAGCAACACATCCAATATCATCACACTGATTGGAGTCAAGGTTGGCTCACTCAGGCTGCAATTAGCTCTGGGAGAAGTCATTAAGCTAGGGCCTCACATACTTTTTCCTCCCTGCACTGTGAATGTTTACATGTTATGTGCAATTAAACCATGGCAACATCTAATGTTTGTGTAGTATTATGTTCAGCAGACTGTGTTCTTCTATTCTTGTGACTTAGATGACGTTCAGAGCACATTTTATGCCCAATTCATGCAAAACTCCACGTAATCCCAAGGGGTTCACGTTTTCTTGCAACTGTAGATCTAGCGATCAGATGTCCACAAACGTTTAGCCATATTGTGTAAAAATATACACTTATCATTTCATTTTCATTACAAAAAGGATGCTTTTTCTTGCTTCTTGTCTGCTTTATTACTTCAGCCAAAACTTATACACCCTAAAAAAAAAAAAAAAAAAGACTAAAAAAGAAAATTAACGCAGCCAACACATCTAAGGATTGGTAAGTTGTAAATGATTACATTTTTGGTTTTAGGTTTAATGCTTTTTCTGCCAGGTTCGTACATTGTACGGACCTGACAGAGGGAGGTGTGTCTATCTGACAAGCCAACTGCCAGTTGCCAGATGAAAGTGATCCAGAGGCTGGGCAGCTGCTCAATTGCTTCCAAACATCCCCGGAGACAGCTGCCCCTTGTACACACATCTCGGCCATGTATCCTGGGCTCTGCATGCCCATTGGCACACCCAGGTCAGGCATGGTGGGTGCCCCCGGTTTGAAGGAAGGGAGCAGAGTAGACATGCAACTGCTTTCCTCTCCTTGCTGACCCAGAAGTGACATATAAAATTTCACTTCCGATTTCCCCTTTTTCTTTCCCTGGCCTGGGGAAGAATCTAATGCAATGCACTGCATTCAAATTATATGGAGGACAGGTGAGACATCAGGGGTCTTTTATGTCATTAAAGAGAACCTGTCACCAAAAACTCATCACAAAATTAAGTTATACTCAAGCATATAAAAATCCCCCCCCCCCCCAAAAAAGTTTTTAAGGCAATCCACATACATGCACATATGAACATATATGCACTTGTCAGGAGTGCCTACGCATGGAAATGCCAATTGTTATACATAGGTTACATATCTCCACAAACACTTAAGTGAGAGAAAGACTTTTAGCACCAGAGCTGTTGCGTAAGTTTAAACTGATGACATGTAGGGGTATTTAAAGCATCATCTATAGAAAATATAGGGTACTGAAGTTTGTGGTTATTACACTGGCGCACGCAATTTTAAGGTTTGACATGGTGTGTGTCTATTTACTTGGTGCAATCTCATCTGTTATATTTTACCAAAAAAAAATGGGTAATTTGTGCTTGTGTGTCTTATTTTTTACTGAAATTTAGCATTTCCTAGACCTTTGTGCTAATATTGTGTAACATAAAAAAATTGGAACTACCAATATTTTATTCTCTTGCGTGTCTGCTTTCAGAAAATATATAATGTTTTGGGAGTTTTATGCAAATTTCAGGCCTAAAATTATTTTTTAAATGTGTGCAAAGAAGGCAAAAATGGCTCTGGCAGCAAAAGGGTTTATACCGTTCTAAATTGTTTGGCTCTACCACTACACAACAGCAAAGCATTTTCAAAAAAATAAACACACCCAATTAATTAACATAGACAGTCATTTTACGCAAGCTTTATTATGAAAATAGAAGATTTTCAGTACTGCATAGAGTGCACTTATATGTATAGTGCACTTGATGTGTATAGTCTTTTCCGTTATATTTAGATATGCATTTAAATAGATTAGCTTGATTTTTTTTAAAACATGTTCCTATGCAAAATTGGTTATCATATACATATATAAGAGCAGCCCTTTTCTGATTACGTGAGCAGAATCTGCTTTCTGTCTTGGAGAGCTACAAAATAATTTTGCTTTAGTGATCCTTATTACAATGCAAGTATGTGAGTTGGCAGAAAATAAACTATACTTCCTCTATTCAATGGGCTGGCTGTTGTAAGTATTAAAGTGTATACCAAGGCAAAATAGCATATGGAGTACAATGCTATATATGATTATTACCTGTGTTTTATCCCTTATGAGACCCTGCAAATACAGAAAAATTCCTGTTGATCTGCCAGGAATGGTGTTACCACCTAAGTGCTGGTTCACATATATACAGATTGGATGTGCTTTGAACCGCATCCAATCCGCATGACATGCGAAAAAAACATTGCTTCCTATGGTGCCTGTTCACATATGTCCAGTGCACTGGCAGTGCGGAATCACTGCAGATTGAAAAAGAGTCCTGGCAGCGCGGATTCAGTGCAGAACCACATCCAATCCGCATGACATGTGAATTAACATCGCTTCCTATGGTGCTTGTTCACATATGTCCAGTGCATCGGCAGTGCAGAATCGATGCAGATTGAAAAAGAGTCCTGTCCGATTTCTAAATAGTGCAGGCCGGTTCAGGTGTGGATTACAGGCTCATTGACTTCTAAGGGAACCACTTCTGAATCACACGTCATGAGGCCAGTTTTCTCTCCTGATCCTGATGTAAACCTGACCTGATCCTAATCTAGATCTGACCTGATCCTGATCTAAACCTGACCTGAACAGCTAAACAACTATTTTGTCAAATAGCTGAGAAAACAGGGTTTCAGTCTGCATTGCACATGTGAATACACAGTAGAGTCCTCTTGTGGACTGACAACCTGAACCACTGATAGGAGAGTACAGACTTAGCCAGTCCTAGCACAATCACTGGTGCATTTTATGATTAGATTTTTTTCTGGGAACTGCAGAAGGAGGCAAAATCTTCAATATCTGCAGGCTCCAGACAAGAACTCTAGGTTATAGTTGTTTCTAGCCTCTCTGCTTATGGTAGTCTCCGCAGAAGAGACACCAGGCATGGAAGGATGGAAGGGCAGGGCTAAAGTGTATGGGAAAACACTGGGGGAAGGGCCATGTCAGGTTGTGCAGGGTTCTATGATTTCTAATGGTGGCCCTGCATGTGTGTAGGCTGAATGGTGTCAGCCCTACCAGTTGTTTTGTTAAACTACTCAACCACTTTCAGATTTCTATGAAATGAATAGACCTCAGCAGAGGTACCTTTTTTAACACAGCAGAAATAAGAAAAGACTCTTTGACTGGAGTTCCACTTTAAGAACAGTTACACAACTCTAAACAATAGTTTCGGAATCCACACAAGGTAATGCAGGGGCTTTTAAGACAACTCAGTATAGTCCTTTACTGAAAATTCAAAAGATATAAGCACTTTGCTTGCTGTACTTCCAATTTATAGAACTGTAGTTTTGGAATGGGAAAACATCACAACACTGAATGCGAGCAGGAATTGGAGTAGTTGGCTGGAAGAGTCTCTTTAGAAGTCTTGACTGAAGTGATAGATAATTTGGAGCTTTTCCGAAACCTGTGCCTCACCTTGTCTCTAAATTCTTCTGACACATAATAATATACGAAGGGATCCACACAGCTGTTAATGGCACTTAGAGTTAAACAGACCATATAGACAGCATATAGGTTTCCATAACTTTTCAGACAGTGCTCAGAATAATGAATTAAAAGAACCACATTGCTGGGTGTCAAGAAGACTATCACTATCACCAAAACCAAGACACTCAGTTTTATGGCATGGGCGTATTTTTCTCCACTCAATACCAGTGCTCGAATAACAGAGATGTAGCTGAAGATTATGATCACCAGAGGTAAAATAAAGCAGACAACAATGGTAGTAATGAAATAATAAACAAGATAATCCGCTTGCTCTTGTCTGGGAAGAGCATCATGGCACACTGTAATGTCAGCATTTAATAATGGATAGGATTGTTGCATTGTAGTCAAAGGAATTGTACATAAAACAGAGATTAGCCAGGAAATCGAGCATATGGCAATGGCAAAAGCCCTACTTCTAAATGTTCTAGAGAAGAAAGGGTGAACGACAGCCAAGTAGCGGTCAATACTGATGCTCATGAGGAGAAGAACTGAACAATACATGTTTCCATAAAAGAAACTAGTTACAGCCCTGCACATTATCTCTCCAAAGATCCAGTTATTTCCCATGAAGTAATAAAGTATCTTGAAAGGCAGCACCAGGATGAGTAAGAGGTCTGCCACTGCTAGGTTCATAAGGAAGACTGTAGAGGTCATCTTCTTGACTTTGGTCATCAAAACCCACAAAGCAAGGCCATTGGCTGGTAATCCTACCAGAAATATTAAAGTATAGATAAACGGTATTACAAGGACAGTGATGGGACTTTTCAAATAATCCATAGATGTTGCTGAAATTGATAAAAATGTATTGTTTAGATCCCCACGGAATGAACGTGGAAATAATACATTCTCACAAGTAGTTGTGTCATTGGATTCTCCTTCATCTGAGTAATCTGTAAAGAGATGAAAGATTAAGAGATAGATTAGAACATTTTACATGTATTTGAAAAACTATCGCTGTGTGAACTCCTTCCATATTTCAGTTGTTAAGAACATTGTGATGAATTCCTATTCAAGATCATATTGTATACAGTGCTAATTTCTAAATAAAGTGCCGAGTTATTAAAGACCAGTTGAACTCTCAATTTCCTGATTTCTCCATGCATAAGGTGTTCAAATCTTGCAGGTTGTTTCTTTAGGAAGCAGCCACAGCCAGAGCAGAAAAGCCTGTTCCCTTACAGTAATGCTGCAGAGAAGGACTCTTGCTCTTTCAGAGGTTTGGCACTTCCTCTGTCAACTCAGACCTATAGCTCTGCAATCAGCAAAGCTCATGCAAACTTCTAAAGTAGGAAGGAAATCCTCCTGCGCTCAATAGGAAATGATACCTGTAAACTACAGCAGCTAACACTCTAAACTGATACCTTAACAGTGATATAGAATAATTCTTAAAAATAGTGCAGCACTGTTAAACGAAATAAACAATATATATAATCAATAGTGCTGAAATTATACTGTGCCTCAATGAATAAATATTATAGCAATAAACGTGCATATAGTGCCCATACCAATGTGACCTCAAATCAGTGAAATATAACTGCACAATTGTGAAAACACTCTTGTAAATATTATAGCAACTAAAACATGAACCCTCTATATAGGGGATATAACAACGGTGATTAGTGCCAAAGTGACCAACACAGCAAATCACATATAAATCATAAATACATACAATCTCAAAAAAAGTCCATAAATATTCAAAACATAAGTGCTTCAAACGAATGAAAACCATGCAACGTGCCAATGGTGATGATATCCGTGAAAGTGTCAGCACACTTTATCCACACTGGCTAAATTGCCTCCTCACCTCTTTTAAGCGACCCAATGGGCCACTTCGCTTTCAGGATCACTCCTGGATCCTACTCCAATCCTGGCTAGCAGTGTTTCACCTGTAGTTCCTCCCTAGGTATAATAGGTAATACTCCAGGCCTCTCAGGATGGATATATCTGCTAAATATAATTCTCACCCCACGCCCATGGTGAGAAAGAAATCCTCCATAGTGTAGTAGAGATTTCAATAGAGATCTCCTTTAATTAAGTAAAAAATGCCCACTCACATTTCCAACAAATTATAACACTCCTATATCCACATGCTTGGGTGTACTGCATGGGTTAGGGGTTTGTTTGGGTGTTCCAAGATGGAACATCCAACGCCCAATGTGCGTCACCGCGCACCGAAAGCTGCGTCACGATGTACGTCTATGGGTATACTATGGGTACTATTTTTTGCTCCACATCAAGCATTTAACCCCCTAGGACCCCCAGGTTACCATCCCAGGGCCCAGAGGAGAGCTGTATTTAAGCAGATCCCGACCGTAGCCAAGCCTTAAAGGGGACCTCTAAAAGTACCTTACCACCATCATCATTATCCATTGAAGAGGTATCCATTCCAGGCTACATCCTATCCAGGATTAAGGGGACCTCTGGTACATTTGATGTAAATGCGCATTTATATTGCGCCTCTGGTGAGTGTGCAATTTACCTGTTATTCCTGCACGACACTGGATCACATGTGTCACTGGGATTAGAGAAGTCACCCCTTTTCAGTTTACCATCTTCCTGTGTTTTTACCACCCTCATCACTTATTGGACATTTAACAGTGTTGTCTACCACAGACGTAGTGTATGTCGGTTGGGAACTAATATCTTACATTTGATACGGACACCATTTGTCACCATTTTGGCACTCTACTATATGTAATATTGGTAACTTTGATATTTTGACATTTTGGTCATTTGTATTTATATGGACTTTAGCCGCAGGCATTTTGCATTTATACGATTTCTTCAGCGCTGCACTACATATTTTATGATTATTTTTAGAAGGTCATATGGTTCCCTTTTTCATGTACTAGCCGCTTTCTTCCTCTTAAGCGCTCACTGAACCCCGTTGTTTTTTTATAGTGGCTTAGCATCGTCAGCCTTCAACAGAATATCTGGTTGGATCTCCAAGGCAACGAGCTTTGGAACAGATGCACAAAAGACAATTTGCGTAAGAAAACTGTAGACAGTAAGGTATGATGCCCAACATGCTAAAACATAAATGTAGGGTTTACATAAACTTTATCACTTTATTATGCTTAAGCAGTACCTTTACCTTTTGTCTTTAAAGAATAAGTTCCCCTTTATACAAAAATATTGTAAATGCACATTTTTTTGCAGGTAAAAAAATGTGCATTTATTATTGTTTGTTGCAGGAGCCTGTAAAATTTGGTACCAGCTATCAGCAGATCGCTCATGCCATGCAGGTCTCCTGCAAATCTGTCAGTATATCTGCTTGCCGTACAGGATGTATGAGCAAGCGGATATACTGACAGGAAGATTTACCACACGGTGCTCCACAGCACTGTGGTAGTTCATTGAGAACTACAAGCCAACAGCTGCTAAGGCTGTCAGGACTTGTAGTTTCTCATTCACAGAACACGTTTTTTTTTTTTTTAATTTTGACGGCTAGTGGGGGTTAGGAGATCCCTGCTAGTTTCAAAGCGGAGAGAGAGCGGGGGCCAGTGCTTTCATAACATGTTAAATGTTACACCCTGAATATGGGTGTAGCATGTAACATGTTATGAAAGGTGAACTTATCCTTTAATTCTTCTACAAAATAACAGTGCACCTCCTAGGCACAGCCACATAACTGTATGTCTGCAGTATGAAATTATCTCACTGGCACTATGGCACTACTTGCCTCACAAGATTTGAATATTCCACTAATGTGCTACTCACTGTTCTCCTTGCTGTAGAGGAAACTGTTGCTGGAGAAGAAGCTGTACCTGAGCACCTGCAATGCAGTGGAGGTCAAAGGTATGATTGTGCCATCTAGCAAAGGGGCCAGGATCACAAGACTGGCTGCACAGAACTGGAAATCCTTTGGCAGGCAAAAAACTTATATATATATACAGTTGCAAGAAAAAGTATGTGAACCCCTTGGGATTACGTGGAGTTTTGCATGAATTGGGCATAAAATATGCTCTGAACATCATCTAAGTCACAACAATAGAAGAACACAGTCTGCTGAACATAATACTACACAAACATTAGATGTTGCCATGGTTTAATTGCACATAACATGTAAACATTCACAGTGCAGGGAGGAAAAAGTATGTGAACCTTTAGACTTAATAACTGGTTGACCCTCCTTTGGCAGCAATAACCTCAACCAAACATTTCCTGTAGTTGCAGATCAGACCTGCACAAAGATCTGGAGTAATTTTGGACCACTCCTCTTCACAGCACTGTTTCAGGGTAGCAATATTCTTGGGATGTCTGGTGTGAATCGCTCTCTTAAGGTCATGCCACAGCATTTCAATCGGGTTGAGGTCAGGACTCTGACTGGACCACTCCAGAAGGCGTATTCTGTGCTGTTGCAGCCATTGTTTTGTTGAATTACTTGTATGCTTTGGGTCATTGTCCTGTTGCATCACCCATCCTCTGCGGAGCTTCAGTTGGCGGACAGATGGTCGTACGTTTTCCTGCAAAATGTCTTGATAAACTCTGGAATTCATTTTCCCATCACTGACAACAATCCGTCCAGGCCCTGAGGCAGCAAAGCAGCCAGACGGGCTGGTCTGAGTATTTGAAAAATAGCTGATCTACTGTGATTTTCACACACAACCATTTCTAGGGTTTACAAAGAATGGTTCGAAAAAGAGAAAATATCCAGTGAGTGGCAGTTGTGTGGATGAAAATGCCTTGTTGGATACGCCGATGACGTCAAGCCGTGCATGTGCCACCATTTTGGATAAGGGATCCATGCATTTTTATTCAACAAAGATACTATATAGTGAGTCTTTGATCCTGTAGTGTCCCAAAAATGTTGCCTGATCTGATGAGTCTTGATTTGAGCTTCAACATTCAGACATTCAGGGTCAGAATTTGGTGTAAACAACATGAAAGCATGGACCCATCCTGCCTTGTATCAACGGTTCAAGCTGGTGGTGGTGTAATGGTGTGGGGGATATTTTCTTGACACACTTTGGGCCCCTTAGTACCAATTGAACATCGTTTAAATGCCATGACCTACCTGAGTATTGTTGCTCACCATGTCCATTCCTTTATGACTACAGTGTACCCATTGCTCACAAAGCTCAGATCATCCAAACTGGTTTCTTGAACATGACAATGAGTTCACTGTACTCCAATGGCCCCCACAGTCACCAGATCTCAATCCAATAGAGCACCTTTTCGGATGTGGTGGAATGGGAGATTCGCATCATGGATGTGCAGCCAACAAATCTGCAGCAACTGCATGATGCTATCATGGACCAAAATCTCTGAGGAATGTTTCCAACGCCTTGTTGAATCTATGCCACGAAGAATGAATGCAGTTCTGAAGGGGTCCAACCAGGTACTAGCAAGGTGTACCTAATAGAGTGACCAATATATATATATATATATATATATACATATACAGTTGCAAGAAAAGTATGTGAACCCCTTGGGATTACGTGGAGATTTGCATGAATTGGGCATAAAATGTGCTCTGAACGCCATCTAAGTCACAAGAATAGAAGAACACAGTCTGCTGAACATAATACTACACAAACATTAGATGTTGCCATGGTTTAATTGCACATAACATGTAAACATTCACAGTGCAGGGAGTAAAAAGTATGTGAACCTTTGGACTTAATAATTGGTTGACCCTCCTTTGGCAGCAATAACCTCAACCAAACGTTTCCTGTAGTTGCAGATCAGACCTGCACAACGATCTGGAGTAATTTTGGACCACTCCTCTTCACAAAACTGTTTCAGTGTAGCAATATTCTTGGGATGTCTGGTGTGAA